TTATATCTTCAAGACTATTTAAGTTATCGAAGTGGTTTTTATCTCATTTTTTAGCAAATTTAATTGTGGACAAAACATGTTGTGTACCTATACAAAATGGCGTAAATGTGTCCTTTTGGGTGATATTAGGTCATTTTCAATGAATAGTTCAATTCCTCTAAAGAAAACAAAGATCACATCGTATTTCAAGATGGGGGACCAAAAAATCGGGCACCCCCCATAAACTGTTTCTATTTATTAGGGTATGGAAGAAACATGCAAAGTCTGTAGCTTTAATCCACCAGGTCACGATCATTTTGCTAAGCCACCACACTACTACAGACAGTCTATACTGCAATAGACTTACCAATACTTGGACAGCCAGCCATGGTGTTGGTCTTTTAGCTGCATCCTGTAAGCCACACCTTCCTCTCTGATTGGTTGCCAGGACATTGTTATGCTGTGTCGAGTGTTAGATACATATGTTAGCCTTAGAGGATCCATCTTTGCCGCACATTTAAACTATAATAGACTACTGATTTTAATGGTTACAACTATGATAGATCCCACTTACAAATATATTTTTACCTTACAATATTTATTAAATAAGTTACGTAATATTTTAAATTGTAGAAGATTTTGCCCTTCTTTAAATAGTTTCTAGCTTTAATGTTTTTTTTATAACAGCCTATGTTGAGTAAATATTTATCGACCCATTTTTCTATTCGATTGGCCAAACCTCTTTTCCACCACTAATAAATTCCACAACTGCATGTTGTAAACCTCTACATCAGCAAAAATACAGGTATTTAAAATTTTGAAAAAAATTGTGTTTCTTTTTACCTAAAATTTAAGAATTATGTAAATAATAATAAGATTTGTTCACAAAACAAAAGGTACTGCTAGTAATGCCAGTGATGAATACAACTCCAATCTCTAACCTAGTTGACAGTATTGTCATGGTAACACCAACACATCCCCCTCCTTGACCCCACATAATGTTTTTTAAGGTTGATTTTAATTCATAATATCTGAAAAGCTGATTCATCGTTACACATTGATACTTTAGAATAAACATTGTTAGTTGTAGCTTTACTTCAGTATTTTGGTTGAAAATTAGGTAACTAAGCTAATTTCCATTTGGTAATTCGATTTTCTCTAAAACAACTCCTTTAAAATGTCAGATTTATCCCAAGGCCACACCAAAAAAACAGGCCGTAATGCTCGTCAAGCATGACGTCACGATAGAAGACGGTAATGACGTAATATTTGATATTTTTGTGACAGAGGGTATTTATTTATTTATTTTCCAAGGAAAGATTAAAACAAGCAGCTGATCACAAACGGCAAACATTACGTCATTGCCGTCTTCCATCGTGACGTCATGCTTGACGAGCATTACGGCCTGTTTTTTTTAGTGTGGCCTTGTTTATCCCCTATCTATAAAATTAATACGCTACATGAATCTTTGTCGGATGAACTCCTCCGCCATTTCTTAACCGATTTTATCCATTGACGTCTCGTTGGAAAGAGCATGTCGTGTAGATTTATAAACTAACCTTACATTTTTGAAAAAGTCCCTTGGGCTCTGCCCCAGTGGCTGTTAAAGTTCCCATGTTATCCTTATGAAGAGCATAATTGTTTACATTTTGATCAGCTGTAAAATTTAATTGCTGTTATTTATTATTCAATTCAATGAAACGCATTGGGTACATTTACTGATTTTGTTGAAATTAAATAATTACTATTTTAATTTACAATCGTACATATTTCAATGTGAAAAATCGAGAAAGCCTGGACAATTTGATAAATTTTACCAAATAAGAAAAATGAATTGATGTAGTACTGTATTTCTTGAGAAATCATTGAAAGAGCCGATTTGTTAACAATGGAAACGTAGCAAAATCATAGAACGCCACCAAGTATAAAATAATATAGATTTAAAAAAATTTACTATTGTTATCAACCTATATAATGAAGAACACCTACAGCTACAATATGAAGATTCCCACAATCAATGAACAAGGATAATTAGCCTAAGTGCTACTATTTTGTAGGAAACATGGACTTAACTTTAATGATTGGCAAAGGAACCCCCTCTAAGTCTGAATTAAACTGGTACAGCAAGGACATTAATCATTAAATATATGTTTTCATAAAAGTCAAGTGGTTTTAAAAGAATGTGACTACATCCAAGAAATTTTAATAAAACTTTCATTGAAAGATTCATATTATTATTCACATTTAAGGGAAACAAAAAAACCATCTGAACGACATTAGGCCTTTCAATTCTGCATTTTTTCAGGTAAATATAATTTACGATATAACAGTAACTAGCCAAATGAATGCCAATTGATGCAAATAAAATTGTGACAGCGAGGTTATGTAGAAAATAAGGTAGTTCTTAGTCATGTTAACAAAATGTTTTCGATATAAAAAATTTACTGAAATTTGTAAACGTAAACGTACTAGTGACAATGGGTGGTACCATGCAGACTACATTATCATTGATCAAGATCAACATGGACAACCTAATACACCTAATACCTATACGACCCTAATACCTATAACCTAATACGACTATAAGTGGGAAACATTTAAAAACCAGATCAGCTTTTGAAAAATGATAAAATATTTATAAGAAATGTTGATTATATGGAACTGTTAGGTACATATCTATGAGTCGAGTCTTTTACACTCATCGGAAATTATGATGGCTTTTATTTGTTTTTAAATAACTACTTTACTTCTTTGCAATTGCTAGATTTTGAGCAACGTGTACACTAGTCTATATATTAATAGGCAAGCATGTTTCTTTAATACATTTTTTTTCTCAGCTCGTGTGCATCGCAGGAAAAATCTATGCATACCGGTACTGTTAGAAAGATATTTTCATGTACATGTGCAGAATCTCTTTAAGAATTAAAATAGGCTCAAATATAAGCACAAAAATTGAATTTGAAATTTAAAAAAAATTAACATTGGCTTTACTTGCCATGCTGGTGACGAAATAAGAACAAAATATAAACAGAAAATCAAAACAAATGGAAGAAAATACAGTCACATGTTTTATTTACAGCGAGGGATGAAAATAGAGAAGCCTGTACATTACATTATTTTGGTCGAGTTCTCGACCACTGGACGACCTCTAGTATTAAATAACTATTTTAACAAGTAATTAAGTTTGCTGCTACTGTTTGGTTTGAGGTAATAAATAATGGTGACGAAATAAGAACAAAATATAAACAGAAAATAAAACAAATGGAAGAAATTACAGTCACATGTTTTATCATAGACAAAAAGAATTAAATATAGACCGTCAGCTGTGCTGCGGTTACCATAGGTTCTGGCGCACACCGCTTGGAGCACCACGGTAGTTACGGCGTACGCGCTACGTAAACTACAGCGGTGTGCGCCGGAACCTATGGTAACCATGGCAACCGCAACACGGCTGACAGTCTATATTTAATTCTTTTTGTCTATGGTTTTATTTACAGCGAGGGATGAAAATAGAGAAGCCTGTACATTACATTATTTTGGCCGAGTTCTCGACCACTGGACGACCTCTAGTTTAAATAACTATTTTAACAAGTAATTAAGTTTGCTGCTGATGTTTGGTTTGAGGTAATAAATAATAGTGTTTTTAGCAAAATAACACAGTGTTTTTTGTAGTTTACTTACTTACTGCCGTGGCTCCACAAATCTCAGTTGGTTCTTCGCCTTGTGTACCAGCCTCTTCCACCCTTCTCTGTCTTCTGCCAAGTTGACATTTGCACCCATTGTCCTGATGTCGTTCAATACTTGGTCAGTCCATCTCAATTTCGGCCTTCCCAATGGACGTTTACTTCCAGGTGTGGCTCTCCAAACTTCATACAGTCTTGTTCCTTTCTCTCTTCTTAGCACATGCCATATTTAACTTAACCTTCTTCCTTTAACTATTGCAACAATATCTGGGTCGGTGTATAGTGATCTTAACTCTCTATTTTTCCTCATTCTCCACATTTGTCCCTCCTGTACTGGACCAAATATTTTTCTTAGGACTTTATTTTCAAACACCATGAGTCAGTTTTCATTTTTTTTGTAGTTTAGTATGAAATAAAATAAATGTTTCAAATTTGATCAAAATATGTTCATAAACAAGTGGAGTGTGGGAACCGTTTGTGGCAGTTAGATTAATGTATCTGAAATACTTAATGCTATGATCAGGTTTTACAAAATACAACTATTTCATCAATTAATTTAACTTATCAGTTTTGCTAAGAACTATCAACATCTATAACAAGTTTCATTAGTAAATATGTGGACATTACATACACATCCTTTGTATGGGTATTTTTCCTGTGTTTGCTTGCTAATGTCATCTGGTGAACCCACAGTTCTGGTTGATTCCAACCTTGATCCTAATCCAATCGACATTTTCTCAATCAAGGCCAGATTTTGCAGTTCAGGCAGAGATAATCCTGCATGGATCCATACAATTAGCAGATGTAACTTTTTGAAGACTTGCCTGCTTAGAGAGAATTGCACAAATAGTTGTCACCATACCTTTACGAGGTTTGTTTTCTTAAATTTTGTAAATTTAACATAATTATGAAAAGCATTGTTTTCAAGCAGTGTTCTACATTCAACCATCTCAAAACATTGCCAGGATTAGTTGTTTGTGCGTTTTGCGCGTTATTGCTCATCTTCATTTTCTACAAATATATCAGGCAGTTTTTGAGAGTGAATTCTGAAAATTCGTTTGCTGCGGCGAGGGTATTTTTTATTACTAACGTGCCTAATACATGCACACTATTTTGTGTTGATAGGTTGAAATACCGGAGTGCGGGATAGTGAGAAAGTTAAATGAGTGTGGGAAAGTGTGGGAATTCAGGAATCAATTACTTTGCATGATATTATCAGTGCAAGAAGACACACTTCGTCAGGTAACTGTAGGACAAATTCTTTAATTCTTAAACTCTGCAAAATTGTTTAGAAAGAAATATTCTTTTCAGTAGGCAGATGAATAAAACGCAATAACATTTTGTGTAAAAATTATATTGTTACAAATACAAATTCTCTATTTGTTATACAAAAGAAATTTGACCCTAGTGCCATGAAAGTTTAAGTTTTTATGGCATTTTAGCATGACTCAGGATCATATTGCTAGGTATGTTTTTGCACACAGCTGTTACATTATGGTACAGGTGCCATCCGTTTCAAGTGTTTAAAAAGTTCAGATAATGTACTTGCAACAGATACAGAAACCACAACTGATTTGCAGTTTTATAAATATCATGATTATGAGCAAATCAGCAAATGCTGAATATATAAAATGAAAAAATGACTTGTTCAGCACACACTGTTTACACAAACACCTATATTAACAATGATTATTCCAGGTTGATTGTGATATTAACCAAGTATTGGTGTCGATTTTAATTTAAATGCTAGGTACAATTTACCTTACAATTAAAATAAAACCCACAAAATCTTTAGACTCAAATCGAAATATACAAGTACTGAAATAAAAGAACATAGAATCTCAATACGTTAGTGGTTTAAAGTTAACAGAATTATAGTTTTAATGTAAAAACTTGGCAAGCAAAATAGTGCCATGAGGTATTGTATGAAGTTGGAAGTAGCGTATATGTGATTAATAATTACATATTATGTGTTTCATTCAAATGCTTTTCTAATGATTGGTCTGAATTAAATACTTCTGAACAAATTGAACATGGACGATTTATATAATCAATTTCTTCAAAATTTACAATTTTATAATTAGACATATGAATTGTTGAATCCTGTGTTCCGTTATTATCAAAATGTTCTTGGGTCAACACAGCTATTTTGCTTGGAATTTCTTTATCTGGAAGTAGTTTTCTTTTCTTGTAACACTTCAAGTTTTTTTCTAAATGTAAATGGTTTGGTTTGTTGAAATTAAGTGGACTTTGACTCTCAGTGTCATCAATATTTAAACTTCTTTCTGGCCAGTTGAAGTTTCTGAAACATAAAAAAAACAAGTTAAGGGTTTAGAAGAATGAACAAAACGGTATGTTCACCATCCGTATCAAAAATAAGGGCTTTAAAACAGTATAATGGTGCTTGGTAAAAAGCTTAATATTGCTTCTAATGTTAGTTGAAAGATAATGTTCCAGGTACTTGTTTACGCTGTATTATTACTCAGTAGTTTTATTGAGCGAAGCTCACTTTCCCTCACTTTGTAACTTCTTTGTAAGAGCATCAGAATGTAATGGCTTGACCAATTGATATGAAATTTGGCCAACAGCTAAAGACTACTGAGCACAATGTTTTGGTAAAAAATATTTGCAAATTTCCTTCTGGATTTTATTTTACGGGTCACGCAATTTCGCTTGTTATTTTAATGTAAGTTGAAAGAAAAATTATATTGGGTTTATGACATATGGATTTATTTCGTTTCATTTAAATAAGATAAACATATGTTAATTGTTTGTAACTGTTTTGTTTACATTTCAATGTTTACTTTCATCCTAGGATAAAGTCGTAATGTAACAGTTTATCAATGGAAGTAACAGTTTTGCTATATTCGTTTTGAGCATGCCTCAAAGGCCACGTCGTAATATTGGTCGTTGCACCAATAATGCAAATATTGTAAGAGAGTGGTGTCGTGAACAAGAAGAACCAGATGAAGCAGTGGCGGAAGAAGCTGATATTGATAGGCAGTTGGCTAATCAATTCCAACATGAATTAGATGAACTAAAATTTTACACTTGCACTAACTGTCATCGCCAACAACTAACAGCTTCAAACCAATCGCCGATTTGTTCGCGTTGTCGTTCAAATGCTAAATTCGGCGTTAAATAATATGGATGTGTCAAGTGTCCCGAAAGAATTAACTGACCTGACGATTGTAGAACAAATTTTGATTGCATGAGTACATCGCGCTATGCACATTTAAAAAGTACAAGCAAATGGTCAGGATGGCCAGTTTCACTACAGAGGTAACATTATTAATGTTGAGCAAGATATTAATGAAATAGCATCTGTCTTACCTACATTGCCCGAAAACTTAAAAGTAATCATTGTCCAACGTCAAGGTGTCTTTGGCCATATAGATTTCAAAGTTCGAAGTGAAACTACAGCAAGCACTTGTTTGGCTGAAGGCAAATAACCCATTCTATTTTGACATAACCATTAGTGATGAAGCGCTACACCAACTACCAGTCAATGATTTTGTTCACATACTATCAGATAAGTTTGTCATATTCTTTAGAACTTAAATAATATCGGGCAAACAAACGGTTAATCTGTTGATAGGGAACATATTGTAGGTTGTTAGCTGCTTTAGCCATTGACAATCTTTAAATAATGCTTCGCTCATTTATGCGTCTAAAGTGTAACGGCAGACCACCCTAGTTAAATATACACATTTACTGTGGATGCCATATTTGGCTTATTTGGCGAGTCGCCGTCGGCCCCAACAAATGCATGCATGCACCGCCACGGTTGTTTTAATTAATGTTAAGTTTTTTGTTAAATGCTTCATGTCAACGTGTGTTTTCAATTTTAAATGTATGACGAATCAAAGAAGAGGATGAACCTGATGGTGTGGCAGTTCCCGCGAAACATGTAGTTTGGCCTTATGGATAAGGATATTATTTTAACGTAACAAAATAATTCTATTAATATAAATTAATACCCAGACATAATAGGAAAGTGAATTCTGATAATATCCTTTTATGCTTATTGTCCAATAGTTTGTTGAGTAGGGTAAATTAAAAGGAGATATTAGATTTTCTCTTGCTATATGATATAATTTAGTAATGATATATTCTCGTTATGTGATTATTTACAGTTATATTAATTAATCAGAAATCAAAATTCTTTATACAAGTTGACATGTTGACGATCCCGAGTCATTTCGATGATCGCGCCATGACCATGAGTCATGTCGATGATCGCGCCATGACCATGAGTCATGTCGACGATCGCACCATGACCGCGGAATAATTTCGACGATACCGTACCGCTGTGACTACGAGCATACAGACGATCACGTGACCCCGAGCATACCGACGACCACACCGTAACAGCGAGTCATTCCGACAATCACGCCATGACCATGGAGTCATACTGATGATCACCCTGTTACCGCGAGTCATTTTGAAGATCGCGCCGTGACCACGAGTATTTTCTATGATCTTGCGGTGACGGCGAGTCATTTTGAAGGCACATATGTTGACGACAGTGCTGTGACCATGGTAGTTGCTAACACAATGATGCCGCTATTGCGGATTAAAGTCATGATGACATTGTGTTAGGTAGCAATATTGCTATACACATGTCAACGTTTAGGATTTATTAAGCAAAACTGTTTTTCTACTCATAACCAATTCAGGCCTTAAAAATCTACACAGTTTTTTAAATGAAGTTCTGTTTCAATACCTTTTTGTGGTTAGGTTAGGTATTTTATAATGAGATTGATGATTTACAGTTAAATTGGACCAGATATGACATTATTTAGTCACAAGTTTTAATTATTAGTTTTTATAGATCCGTGCCACAAACAGTAAAAATTGGTTTTGTTTGTCTTTTTTGGTAACTGGAATACTTAAGACTTTTAAAACAAACCCTTTACTTGCACAGGAAAAAATCCTGTCCCGTCCCAAAAATCGGGAAGGAAATAAAAATCCCGTCCGTCCTGAACTAAAAATTAAATCCCGTCCATCCCTAGTTGTGATACAACATCACAACTTCATGGCATTGGAAAAGGCCAAGGATTATCAATGATGATGAAAAATCCTTTATTCAGGCAGTATTCTGATGTACCTTCACGAAAGATGAAACCATCTCTGCCGGAAAAAGGCTTTAGTGTCATTATATTGTGGAAGGGTTTCTGAGACACTCGATGACATACGTTCAGGGTGTCTAGTTTATTTCCATTATCAAATTCAAGACTAATTCCAGACTTTTCAAGACTAATTCCAGATTTTTCAAGACTAGTTTTTTCAACAATAAGTGGGTGTTGATACCAAAATGTATCGATTCTCGATTCCTGATACCGATACCAATTTTTATAGCTTAACCAAATTCTCTAAATAATACTACACCAACCCCTGTCTTTGTCATAAAGTAGTACCTATTATAATAATGTGGTGTTTTCAAGTAAAGAAATAATGCAGCAATAAAAAATTCTAACTAGCAAATTTGGTTTTTTTGATCATGATATCTTCCGTGTACCGTACGTTTAGTTATCATCGTCGTCTCCCGCGGTCTCAGAAACGTCATCGTCATCGTCCGCGTCGCGGCAAAATCATGAACATTTCCCGCGGCTGTTTCGACATCACCGTCATCTCCCGCGGTCACGGAAACGTCATCGTCATCTCCCGCGGTCACGGAAACTTCACCATCGTCGTCCGCGATCGCGACAAAATCGTGAACATTTCCCGCGGCCGAGCAGATATCATCGTCGTCTCCCGCGGTCACGGAAACGTCATCGTCATCTTCCGCGGTCACGGAAACATCATCGTCAACTCCCGCGATCGCGACAAAATCATGAGCATTTCCCGCGGCCGAGCAGATATCATCGTCGTCTCCCGCGGTCACGGAAACGACATAGCCATCGTCCGCGATCGCGGCAAAATCGTGAACATTTCCGGCGGTTGTTTAGACACCACCATCATCTCCCGCGGTCACGGAAACGTTATCGTCGTCGTCCGCGATCACGGCAAAATCATGAACATCTCCCGCGGTCGTGTAGACATCATCGTCTTCCCCCGCGGTCACGGAAACGTCATCGTCGTTTCCCGCGATCACGGAAACGACATCGTCGTCGTCTGCGATCGCGGGAAAATCATGAACATTTCCCGCGGCTGTTTAGACATCACCGTCAATCTCCCGCGGTCACTGAAACGTCATCGTCGTCGTCCGCGATCGCGACAAAATCATAAACATTTCCCGCGGCCGAGCAGATATCATCGCCGTCTCCCGCGGTCACGGAAACGTCATCGTCGTCTCCCGCGGTCACGGAAACGTCATCGTCGTCTCCCGCGGTCACGGAAACGTCATTGTCGTAGTCCGCGATCGCGGCAAAATCATGAACATTTCCCGCGGCCGAGCAGATATCATCGTCGTCTCCCCCGGTCACGGAAACGTCATCGTCGTCGTCCGCGATCGCGATAAAATCATGAATATTTCCCGCGGCCGAGCAGATATCATCGTCGTCTCCCGCGGTCACGGAAACGTCATTGTCGTAGTCCGCGATCGCGGCAAAATCATGAACATTTCCCGCGGCCGAGCAGATATCATCGTCGTCTCCCGCGGTCACGGAAACGTCATCGTCGTCGTCCGCGATCGCGATAAAATCATGAATATTTCCCGCGGCCGAGCAGATATCATCGTCGTCTCCCGCGGTCACGGAAACGTCATCGTCGTCTCCCGCTGTCACGGAAACGTCATCGTCGTCTCCCGCGGTCACGGAAACGTCATCGTCGTCTCCCGCGGTCACGGAAACGTCATCGTCGTCTCCCGCGGTCACGGAAACGTCATCGTCGTCGTCCGCGATCGCGGCAAAATCATGAACATTTCCCGCGGCTGTTTAGATATCACCGTCATCTCTCGCGGTCACGGAAACGTTATCGTCGTCGTCCGCGATCACGGCAAAATCATGAACATTTCCCGCGGCCGTGTAGACATCAATGTCGTCTCCCGCGGTCACGGAAAAATCATCGTCATCTCCCGCGGTTTCGGAAACGTTATCGTCGTCGTCCACTATTGCGGCAAAATCGTGAACATTTCTCGAGGCCGTGTAGACATCATCATCATTGGCTTTCGCGGTTACGTAAACGCAAGACGACGATCGCGGCAAAATCATGAAAATTCCCGACTTTGAAATCAAATTTAAGACTAAATCCCGACTTTTCAAGACCATTTTGAAATTCAATACTAATTCCCGACTTTCCCGATTTTCCCGACTACTAGACACCCTGTACGTTATGAACGTTTTTATGCCAAGGGAACAAGTAAGAGAACGACACAAGCTGTGCAGCCTCAGTCTCTTCCACCTACCTCAGCTGCTGCCAAATATCACAGCATGAGGGTTTTCCACCAAATTTTCCACCCTATCACCCTTGGAGTCTGGTTGGAGATTATAAAGCAATAAACAACTTCCTATAATGACTGACCTAAAACCAGCTCCAACAAACAAATTAGAATTTATAAGATGTAATTTCAAGTCAGACTGTGGTTAAGAATAAGAATAAGAACTTTATTCAGCCAGAAAATATTTCATGCAAATACATTGGCACGTCAATTTTATAAATAAATAATATTCAACAGAAGTCCTTAACAGTCCATTGTCTTGACATATACTCTTCTATAGAATAAAAGGATCCTTTACATAGAAAATAATTTAATTTTATTTTAAAATCCTTATCACTAAGCAGTCTTATATCTAATGGTAACTTATTGTACAACTTAATTGCAATCATCATTGGTCTTTTATCTGTCTTGGCTAGTCTTACTTTTGGCAAATTAATGTTATTACAAAAACGAGTATTATAACTGTGCACATCTTTTCTACAGTCTAATAAATGAATATTGGCTCTAATATAAAGTAGACATTGTTGTATAAATAAAGAAAACAAAGTCAAAACTTTAAACTCCTTGAATAGATTTTTACAACTATGACACATATATATTTACACCAACAATGACTCTAAGAACTTTTTTTTGCATAATAAAAACTTAATTTGCATGAGGAGAAGATCACCAAACAATCAAACCATACCTTAAATGGCTATGAAATAGTCCATAATAAGCCTGTATTAAAGAATTCTGATTCAATTCACCACACAAACATTTCATAGCAAATATACTCGAACTAAGTCTTGCCTTTACCAAATGAACATGATATTGCCAATTTAGAGTAGTATCAAAAGTTAGTCCCAAAAACTTTGGATGCAGATTTTCATTTGGCATCTCAGTAATTTCTCTAAGACTAAATACTACAGTTGATGTTTTATCTTTATTAAGAATTAAATTATTTGCTGTGAGCCAGTTCTCAACAACATTTTTATTCAACTCACAGTTTTCTAAAAGTTGACTATAGTCTGAACTCCTGGTGATTACCGTGGTGTCATCTGCGTATAAAACAATATCTGTAGGGACATTTACACTTAAGTCATTGACCACTATCAAGAACAATAATGGCCCAAGTACCGAGCCCTGAGGGACTCCACAGGTTACAGGTTTACATTGAGACAGGTTATTTCCTAATGCCACATACTGAGATCTATTTTGCAGATAAGACCTAAATAAATCTAAAGCCACACCTTTGATATTGTAGTGCTTTAATTTTTCTAACAGTACTGTATGTGAAACTCGATCGAAGGCTTTACTTAGATCACAGAAAGTGATTGCAGCAAAGTCATTTTTTTCAAAACAATCTAGCACCTTATCAACCAAAGAAATAATTGCTTGAGTTGTTGATAAACCTTTTCGGAATCCAAACTGTTGTTTGCATATCAAATCATGGGATTCCAAATATTCCATCAATTGTGTACCAACTACTAGTTCCACTATCTTAGATAAAACAGGTACAATCGCAACAGGCCTATAGTTACCTATATCCTCTTTTTTACCTTTCTTATAAATAGGAAGCACTTTTGTGATCTTTCATCTAGATGTCCTCACCAGTTTCAGTTTCTTTTTTATATACAGCTGTTTTTTGTTTTAAATTTGTTCAATGTAATTCGTATGGTGAAAACCCGACCTTTCAAAGGGTCTCACGACCTTAAGGGTAGGAACATTTACATTCTAAAATCTTAATGCAAAACTACGAATTGGGCCGAATCTTTTGACACCTTAAACGTTGAAATTGGTCCACAAATAAGGGAGGAGTAGTGTTTACAAAAAACAGCCCTCACGTATTAATATAAGAGATATTTTATCCTCTCCTATTATTTACTAGTGGGCCTTAGTTAGGTTTACAATCTAAAAACTGTTATTAAAACATGTAACATTCAAATTCAACAAATTTTAGAACTCGCTACTAGCATTTACTAGTAGGCCCACAATGCTTTATTCTATAAATTGTTATAAAACGTAGCCTATGTCAATCAAATCAAAGCAAATCAATTATGTCATATTTGTACACGTAAGTTGGACGATTCACCGACGAACCTTTAATTTTAAATCTATGAATTAGTTATGAAAGTTACAATGGTTAATGACTGTATCAATTAATGGTTTTAATTTATTATGACATCACGATTAAACTTGTTTTCCGTGAAAACTTGCGTGTATTTTAGATTAACTAGTTAACCCCCCCCCCCCCCCCCCGTGCTCCGCCACGGGAATATTTTCAGCAATAAAAGAAAAAGACATAATAATTAACAAATCTGTTAATCTTTGTATTTTAATTAGAGGCTGCTTAATTTTGTACATGAAACAGAACTGATAGTTGGCCTGTATAAACTATTTTATGGTAATCAAACCGATATATTAGTTTAACTAAATGAATGTTTTACATTTAATTCCAGTTTCATTTGAAAAAATAAATAGTATACGAACTGCGCAATGTTGATAACCTAATAGCCTACTTATGCTATGGATATAATTTGTTTATGTATATTCTTATATTCGTTGTTTTTTGTTCATTACATTTTGTTGTATGGAATAATGATAGTCACTTACATGTAAATCACGCATCAGCAGTTGGTCGCATTTCACGAATCTTTGACCTATTCTGTGAGTAACAGCTGTGTTTTCGTCATATATATAAAGTTGCATGAAGGGCATACTTTGGATCAACGTTAGAGGGTATTAACGTTCCAATCCGATGGTAAAAGGAGTTCCGGATCTTAAAATTATATAGACTACGAGAAAGATGTTGATTCAATTAAGTGAGACTTAGAACTCGCCATTTTAAATGCAGAGTTCTATGATCTTATATTATTCAAACTAGCTGTTACCCACGGGCTTCCCCTTTTGTTACCCCCTTTTGACATCATAAAAGTATTAATAAAAGTATTGTTTAGTTTGATGGTTCTCTACGTGTTTTTTTCATTCTGTATGTATCTTTACGCCCGGATTTCTATTTCTTTTTGAACTTTTCTCACTCTAGGGTTAATGATAAAGTTTTATAATGCTGTAATGGTACACTGCTGAACGTCAAACACTGATCTTGAGTAAGATTCATCACCTACGACAAAATGTTCATATGTTTCCCATTCATTAGCAATTATCTGTACAACTTGCAAGCGGATTTTCCTATAATTGTTTTGGGGGCTATAGAGAATAAATTATATTGATCAAAACCAAAACAATAAGTTTCCGTCCACTAATATGGGTATTATTTCACATTCCGTACTCAAAATTAAACTCAAACAGTTAACAAATACACTTTTCCTAGATCAAAATCGTGTGCTTATAAACAGGAACTCCTAGATTAATAATACATACCGAAAGTGAGGTTATAAAAATAATAACAAATATCTGACAAACATTAAACAGCTGACGAATAATTTATAAACTGTGTATTATATTCTTCAATAAGAATTTAATTGACTCAACCTTTCAAGGGCTGTAGGTCGAAGTCCTTAAAAAAAAATGTAAATTCTAAAGAAGTTAGGCAAATCTACACACTATCCCCCTTAATTTGAGACATCAATCTTGTAAATCGGTCCAGTAATGACTGAGAAAACAGACTTAAAACCTCTATGAAATCTATATATTTAGATTTCATAGAGGTTTAATTGGTACTACTGGATGTTCAACATTTTTCATATCCTATTATTTTCCTATGATACTGGCATTTATAGTTAAGATTGAAATCATATTAATTGGCCGTTGTACAATTAAATACAAAATTACTCTGTAGAAAACCATGACCTATTTCAACAATGACCATTGGTTCATGGAATAATGAACAACTGCTGGCGAGTTTACTTATCTCTCCGAGCTTCCGTTACAAATAATTCCCACGACTCGAAGTAGGTACTGTATCTTCTAAGCAAAAACTATTTTTATAGCCTTGATTTAACACGATAAACTATGTTAACATTTATAGCTCAAATTGATCATCTGCAGTATAAACAGACAATTAAAATAAATAAATAAAAGGAAAAAAAATTGTTAACAGCGGAACCATAGTTTTAATTGGGTTTGGGGTTCTCCTTTGCAATTACACCACGTAAAATACGCCCACCACAGCAAACCTGCAGACTAAGTGATTTTCCATTTCCCTGATTGGATTTACTCTAAAAACTCTCTTTAAAAATAGCACATTTATTCCCAATTTAAGTAGTATTGGTTTAACGAGTACTTAGGTTTAATGCAACAGGGAGGATAATATTTGTTGTGTGAAATGTTAATAGTTTAGTATGAAATTAATACATTTTCCAAATTTGATCAAAACGTGTTCATAAACAAGCAAAATACAACCGTTTACTTATTCTCTATAAGAATAACATGGGAATTTAACCCCGTGCTCCAGTTGTGTTATATACTTCGATGGTTAATCTACACCAGGTAGTATCGTATCCACAGTGCATGCCTATAAATATCCACAATTCCTAACCTCCTAGTAGCTGGATTACAGGACCCCATAATAAACAACAACGAAATTCAAATACTCGGACAAAAATAAAAGTTTGTCTGTACACGCGCCTGTTTTAGAGTATAGGATAGGATTTTATAGGATATTCTAAATGCGGAATGGAAACTTCTTAGTATTCACCATTGTATTGACAGATTTTAACAATATTTGTTTTTACTAACAGAGATCACTAACTACTTTCAAATGTAATATTTCTTACAAATACATCACATTACTTACTTTAATTCACTGTTCATATATGTTTGGAGGTACTTGGATGGATTTTGATCAATCTAGAAAAAATATGATGGTGAGTTATGCTGAAGAATCAACTATAAAGCACAACAATTGTATAAATATTTACAGGTAGAGGTAGTGCTCACTATTCTGACAAAATGATATATGAAGCAAACCATATAAAGTGGGAATTGTAAAGGTAGAACCCTTTAGGGACAACTGTAGCAACTCTAGCCGTAAGGTGTAGGTGCACGGCCATAACCTGCACAGAGCTTTAAGGGCTATAGCCTATAGGGGCATTCCATGACAGTGACTGGCGACGTCACAGGAGGAAGAAGACATGCTTTGGCGAACTGGTTTGGAGAGATCTGAAATTCAATGTTTATAACGTTTTTTGTTTCAACAGAGTTAACTTTAACTATGTACTATTGTTAGTCAAACATAAGTGGTTTGAATATTAATTAACTCATGTACCATAGTGAAGCAGCATATCATCCTACAGAAAAAATAGGGAAGAGAATCGATTGTAAGAATAATATAATAAAGTAGAAACCCCTTTAAAACATAATATATTTTATTGGATCAGTATTTAATTTGAAAAAAACATTATGAAAACCTGATAAAGCAGAAGGTTGGTTACCAGACTAATTATTTATAGCAGAGCTTTAGTCATAGCGGCTGACGCGGCTGAATTGCTCGAGCCGCCTCACTAGAGCCGCATCCGCTGCATCCCCGGTCGTAGGGATGGGTTCTGTTTATTTACATGTTAAGCAGTATGAGTCGTAGACACAAAGCCTTAAGCCTTGGCAGGAGTCAATCATTTTGCATTATTGTTGACCGTCAGATGCCAGGCGAAACAGCGGTTGTCCGAGAACCAATCGGCAAAAACATGCGTTCACGTTGAAGCATATTAATCATGCACCGTAAGCTTAATTACCGAGCAGAAAATTGAATGTGATTCTTAAATATATTTTCCATGTGAATTTCTTTTCCGATTTTTAAAACTTGTAGAGGTTGAAAAAATCACAGTTTAAGTCAATATATTTATGTAGTTTAACAAAATAATAACAATTAAAATTAAAAAGTAGCTAGCAAAACAAATTTTTTGTTTCAAAAGCTTTAAAATAAGATTTGTTGCAACTTTTTTATCTTAATAGACAATGCCTTAATATGCTTCAACCATTAACTTTGCTGTTATGGGCATACAATCCAAGATGGCCAGCGGTACTGCCAACTCTTAACCGTGCGGCTAGAGTAGTTACAGTTGTCACTTAGGAGTGGTACCTGAAGAGTAAAATAATTAACTGGAGTAAAGGTATATAGTTTTTTGATTATCATAAACAATTAGTTCACTAATTACTTTGATTGATAGACCCATTATCTGCAACTGAAGGCCTCCAGGATTTAATACAATTTAAATGTTTAATACTTTAATAATTTTTGTAACTCCAAGACTAATATTTGTGTATTTCTTTATTGTTTTATTAATATGGTCTTCCAACAAAATATTTTTATAAATAAATGTAAGTTAAAGGGTGGTATTTAACAGATAAATTGTACAGTTTGGACTTCTAGTGTAAGAACACTAAAGGACAGAATGTAATTTTACAAACTCTATTGTTAGGATGGAATTTATTCCTGGAAAGAACTTAATAAATTAGAAAAGACAGAACAGTTATAAGCAACAACTTTTAGTAAAGTTCTTGCAGCTTGCAAACTCAAAGTTTTATAATTTATTAATTTAAAACAAAATGATTACATTTTTTTCCTTACCTTGAATTTTGAAGAATTTGAAACATCTATTCCAGTTGAAATATTGTAAGGTTCTTCTGAAGTTCTTTTAACAGAGCTTCCAGGCAAACCCATAACAGTTTTTGGTAGATTTAGACTAGTAGTTTTTGGTAGATATTGAACAATGACATTATTACTTGATACGTCCGTTGTATTTTCCTGCAATATGAAATTGATGCATTGAATGTGTGTTGCGAAATTTATCCAGAAACATTAACCCATTGGGGAAGGAATTAATGCACTGCCTGCAGTGCCCTCTGTCGGCAATTAATTTTACCAAATGTGTAGACTTTTACTCTAATTGTTATAGAAAGAAAACCTTAGGTAATAAATTAATCATTCTTTCCCCATTTTGTTCACAGTAAAATTTGTCTACGAAAAAAGTGGTAATAGGATAGTCAAAGTGTAAAATAAAAAAATAAAATTATGAAGATTATAAAATTAAAATCTTTTAAAACAATTTTTTAAAAGTAAACTTTATTTACAAATTCCAAGATTAATCCAGACACCAAATGACAACAATGTTATAAAGTTCAATTTACTCCCTACATAATCACAAGTTATTTACTTTTTTAAGTATAAACGAAAAAATGTTTGTTTTACCTTGCGGTAAGGTGATTTTGGGTGATATATGGTTTCCATGGCAACATAACCTTGTTTGTTATTTGCAAAAATAGATAAAGAAATATGAAAAAACAAGAAGCATATTAAAAAACATCAAAAAAGTAAGAAGACACAAAAAGGGGGAAAAATAATAATAATTAACCCTTTCAGTGCTATGAAACGATATATCGTTGTTTTAAAAAAACTCTAAGGGATATAGAGAGGAAGGTTATTTAAAAAAAAATAGCAAAACGGCCATTGGTGACCTGCATGTTCATAGGATACACTACCAACCACTTAGCTAAAAGATTCGCCCAATCCGATGATTTCGAGGTGTATGTCTAAACCAAGGATTATGAACACCTCACTATGCCCCAGTGGTTGTAGTATATCGCTACAAACACACAGGTCACCAATTATTTGCCACACAGGACGGGATTCGAACCCGAGCAGACGAATGCCACTGGCCAAGTGACACACGCCCTAGCCTTCTCGGCTATCTGTGCTTGAAGACTGGGGAGTCAAAACCCGGTATTTAAGCTGTCGCCACCGATTGCGAACAGATGGCGCTGCAGATGGTTGTTCAATGCGTTACTAGGTAGCAGCACCAGCTAGTCATGGACTATTTAGATGCAATCTTTTAGTTTTAGTAGTAGTAAATGTGTTCCTGAGACTTTGCTGCAAAACATTAGTTTCCCTAAAATTGCTATATTACAATAACCTCGTCCAACTAAATCAGGGTTAAATTCAATATTACATTGTAAAGTATATGTCTTTTGATTTTGTAAGATTTTGGTTTCAAATAATGCTATCAGAACATAAAAACTTATAGGAAAACCAGGAAAATTACAACAAAAACTAAGTTTTCTTTTATGTTTACTACAAATACCGGGATTTATCTTTCTTATATATTTTCTTATTATGTTATTATTCAAAATTAGCCTAATTAATAAAATAGTGACAACATGACAGTTAAAATTCAACAACGGGTAATGGAATTAAAAGGCAAACAAAAAAGTCTTACAAAATATGAATTATTGGCCTAGCACTGAAAGGGTTAAATAGCTAGTTGCGCTGCATGGCGGTGAGACAAGTGGCACTCGTAAGTCAGCCGCCGGGCCTGCAGCGGCCGTAAGAGTAACGCTCGTAAGTCAGTGCCAGTGTATGGTTGTTTGGTGGTTCGACTATGTCTGGGACAGGCTCCGGGAGAAAAAAAAGGAGGACAAGCCACCTTTTCAGTGATTTTGCTGCTTGGATCAGCGTCTCGCACCTGCCTTCGATGTAAGTTTTTTTCTGTTTTCTGTAACTCGTTGACCAATCAGCGAGTGATTTAACCTTCGTCTAGAATTATGACAAAGGTGAAGAAAGTCTCACTCTCGTCCCGGCTATTCGTTCTTTTGTTTTGAAGTTATTTTGTTTGACTCGTACTTCGTCGTTTTGATAAATTCAGTTACGTTTAGCAAGCTCTGAAATCTTGAGTTTAGATTTACCATTTTGTGGTGAACGTGTACATCGTTTATCTTTTATTTCGTCACTTGGTGAGTGGTGCAGCAACACTTTTGTTGCATTATTTAAATTTTAACCTATACCAGTTAAAAAAACTTTGGTGAAACTTGAAGGCTAGGCCTGCCTCTCAAACCTAGTCCAATTCAGTGGGTAAATTGGAGTTGGTGTCTCTCGTATTAAATTAACGTCTTGAAATTTATATTGGGACTTTCTTCTAAGTTTTAAATCTTTAAAGTTCGTTGAAGTCCCTAAGTTTGCCCCAGCAGACAGGTTTCTGCTGAACTAGTTTTGCAGACGTTTGCTTAAGTTGACCACGCAAGTAAGTATAAGTTTTAGTTTTGTTTTTGAGCTCATGCAGCAGTTTTATTTTTTGTTCCTATTTTTCTCGTTTCGTTTCTAAGGCAACTTAAGCCAGCTTGTTTTTTTTTTCGTAAATTTAGACTCCGTGGGACGTAGGCTAGGCCTATCTTAAGCTAACCTTGTCTGTTTCAGGTTATCACGTGTACCTTAACCCTGTAGGTAAGCAGGGTGACTACTTAGATTACTGTTTGCCTAATTAAGTAGTTAGTAGCGTGTCAAGTAGTAATTACCCACAGAGTCCCACCAAATTTATCGATTCCCCACAAACTCCCATGACTAGAGCGGTGATTAAAATTTTGGTATCTGGTAACCTGCTAGGTTTGTTCCGAGCTCTGATAACCGAGGCTATCAACACTGAAGCTATCCTAATCACTATCGACTCCTAGGAAAATCCATACATACGAAAAGAACACAATTACGCACTAGGAGCTTAGTCGGAGTCGGGGTCATCTGGAACCAGAGTTCTCTTTACCCCCATTTTGGGCCTCCAATAATGTTGCAGTTTGTGGAAGCACTCCCTGTGGATGCCAGAATTGCAACCAGGGCACCAAAAGCTTGGCCTTCCTCTACCACATGATACACACTTCCGTTCTTGTTTGCGTGGTAAGTGGTCAAGGCAGTGGGGATGGTCACCTTCAGGTCCAGGTCCAGGCTTTACATCTTGTTCATTTCCTGCATCTGCAAGAGAATCCAACACAGAAATATGAAACTCCCTCCTGTTCTTTGGTTTGTCACTGTGGAGCTTATAAAGGGCGTGGCAGAAAGAGCTCCGTTATTAGGAAAGGTAATAAAAACAAAACCAAGTAAGACATGACATTTTTATTGCTATTAGCCAAAAACACACATTATGCCATTTAAAAAAAATATAAAATTATAGTGCTTTAAATAAAACGTTGTTTTAGTAACCGATAATTAAAAATTATCGTGTTTTAAATAAAATGACATTTAAATGGTGGCCTCCAGTGTTAACACATTGGTTCAAACGTTCCCAGTAGTTGTCCATTACCTTTCGGATCATCTTGGGTGAGATGGCTGCAACTTCATGCCTTATTCTTTCCTTGAGGGCTTCCAAACTTTGAGGGCGATGTTTGTATACCTTTAGATAGCTCCACAAAAAAAGTCACACGGGCTCAAGTCTAGCGATCGCGGTGGCCATCCGATGTCACCGCACATTGAAATGACATGACCAGGAAACATTACCTTGACCAATGTCAATGATTGACGGGACGTGTGTGAAGTAGCACCATCTTGTTGGAACCATACATTGGCCAGATCACGAAAGATTTCAGCTAGTTTTGGCTGCAAAAAAGTATGGAGCATTGTACAATAACGATCGCTGTTCACAGTCACAGTCGCACCATTTTCTTCCAAAAATTACGACCCGATTATACCCCTGTTAAACACACCGCATCACACTGTAACCTTTAGACTATGAAGTGGTCGTTGGTAAAGTTCATGGGAGTTGTTTTCAGCCCAATACCTACAATTTTGCTTGTTCACCTTACCAGAGAGATGAAAATGTGCCTCATCTGAAAAGATCACAACATCTTCTTCCTGAATGAGTCAAAGAACATGTTGACACAATGGTGTAAGCATATCAAAGTCTCGATCATTCGGCTTCTGTACCACGACGATCTTGTAGGGATGCATATTCAAATCTCGATGAAGAATTCTTCTGGCACTATGATCAGACATTCGTAATGCCGCTGCGTGTTTTCTCGTGGAACGTCGAGGGGATTGTTCAACTGACTCCCGAATAGCAGCAACATTTTCTAGGCCGGTAACAGTTCTCGGTCGTCCTTGACCAGTTCTCGGTCAGTCTGTCGAAAATTGGTAACCTACGAGTATATAGTTTTTTTATCGGGAACAGGTTCCCGTTGACCAAGCGTGAAGTGAACGCGAAAGGCGCGTTGAGTGGCTACAGGCGATCTGCCATTTTGAATGAACTGCTCCACAACAAACGCGTGATGCTGCCCTGACCAAGCCATGGCGTACACTAAAACGGCACGTACGCATCTATTCAAGGACACAACCCCACCAATTTACCTCGCCGCTGCTCGCTACCGCTAGCCTTAGAAATCGGGGAGTTCTTTCTGCCGCACCCTGTATAAGATATACCCATTGAACAGGGCAAGATCGATCAAGTTGAAGAATATCTTCTTCCAGTATTTGCTGGTTTGTCGGTTTATTGATAAGGCATACACACACTTATCACTCACATCCACTCCACCCATATTTTGATTGTAATTGTGGATGAGCAAGGGCGTCCCTCCAACTAACCCCTTCTTGCTTGTTACAATTCCGTCTTCAGCATGATAACCGGTTGAGATGACTAGGACTGGTTTGCAAGTTGTCTTTTGCCTGTAGCCGACCATTAACAATTTCCCCTCGCGAAAGTTTTCCCTCTCACCAAGTTTAGTTCTCTTTACTGTTTTTAACCAAAATTTTGATTCCTTATTTAATGTACCAATAATAAATGTACTACGTTCAAGCAAACCTTCAGCAAGCGGAATTTTGGTATAGAAATTGTCCGTGTACAAATGGTGACCTTTGTCTAATAAGTTGCCTTTTGTCATCACCTCCATCACCACTCGTTCAGTGAACAGTTCATCTGAATTGTCAGGATCTGCAGGTATGTAGTCTTTGCTACTATAGATTTCAATATGTAATACATAGCTTTAATATGTAAC